GAGAGAGCGAGCGAGAGCGACAGTTTAATTTTGTACAGATTATGCTTACCTCAGGTTTCTTTAGTGTGCTTCAATGCCCTTCTTTAAATATAAGACTTATCTTACTAATTTGGCAGCGATTATCCTTTTCTTTGTTTAAAAAAAAAACTGGAATAATGATAACATTTATCTTTTTTTGCTGTTTATATTTAGGGGGGTTTGGTTTGGGGGGTTTTCTGGGTTTTTTTTGGTAAATCAAGTCTTGGTTGTGGCTTGCTGAATTTAAATATTTATGAGTGGTGCATTTTTAAGTATAGTGAACAAGACACCATATTAAGTGCAGTGAAAAGCATCTATATTCTGTAAAAATCTGCCTATGCATGTTTTTTAAGAAAAAAATGGCTGTATAGGCCTGTATGGGACTGTAATGCGCTTAGTGGTCTGACTTATACTGGAAATGTATGTATACTGGCGTACTTTATATTCTCTAAAAAACAATGCTTAATGCCTTTGAAATTTTGTAATCAAAAAAAAGCTTTGAAAAATTTAAGGGAAGAGTATTCTTAAAGTTTTTAACATAAGCTTGTCAGTGCACATATAGATCGGTAGCATGTTTAGCAAACCTTGTGAAATTTAAATAAGTTTGTAGTTACATGTGAAATTCTAAATGCATGATAACTGTTAATGTCATAATGGTTTAGTCATTTTGTTCTGTTCTGTCATGTGCCACAAAATGTGTAATTTTTTCACTTTTTTCCCTTTGTATATCAGTTACGGGTTTCAACTGGTTCATTCTGAAAAAGAAACAACACAAAACAGTCCATTGATATTTTTTAACAATTGTATAAGTGCCCAAGTAATTCACTACAGCCTACAGCCTTGCCTTTGTAATTTGACTTCGAAATGTTGGCAATCAAAGCATGCACTTGTAACAATGAAAGAAGCATTTTATATTACTACTCAATAAAAATGTGCATGAACTTGAGCGCTCTTCCCTTTCTTGCTGGCCCCGTGGCAGCAGCGCGCGCAGGCTGGCGCGCATGTGCGCTTGCTGCATCCTTTTGCTTCGGACGGGAGAGGACCCTTGGTGTAAGAGAAGAATGACTCGTTTCGTGATTCAAGGTCAGTTCTTTACTAAGGAAAAAAAATCAGTTATTGCCTAACCGTTTTAGGCTATGGAATGTCTGCAGACCTCCCCCAAGTTCTGGTTAGGAGGTTGGGTTTTCACTAAAACGAGTAGGATGTGTGCCACAAGTGGAGTGCAGAGGGAAGACGTGCCCTCTTTTCACTGCCTCATCTGGACTGTTTGAAAAGGTCCGTTAGTATCTTTTATGATGTTCCTTTATGGGAAGAAAATAATTCAACTGTTGCAGATTTCAAATGCTCTCTCATTTAGCCAGAGGTGAACTGTCAAAGCTCTGTCTTGTTCTCATTTTCTCCCTCGCTGTGCTCAGCATCCTTATGCAGTCCATTAGCCTGTGAAGAAGTGATGGACGATGCCAAATGGTGCAGCACTGTGGGTATTGCTGTAGTCCTCCTTTCAGGTACCACTGTTAAATGTTGGCTTGGTGCCTGCTTTCTTACGTGCTTTTCCCACTTTAGTTCTTGTTATTTTTGGCAAAATATGACAGGTGGCAAAAAATGAAGAGAACTCATAATATATGGGACTCAGAAGCTGTAGCAATTTCAGCTTAACATTTTTATTTCAAAGTGTATGGAAGCGTAGCAGGGGAGAGACACACAGAGTCTAACTATTCATCTGATCAGTGAAGCTGCTTATCTGGTTAATGAGCATGGTCTCTGCAGAAAGTAATGGAGAAAGTCTGAGTTACCACTTTACTTGACTGTTCCTGCCTACGTGCTAGCTGAACAACTGTAGGTTATCTCAGGTAAGTTTTTCTATCGAGACATCTGAGGTAGCGCTCAGCAGGCACTTTTTGCAACATTTGAGCACTAGGCAGTGCAACGTGTGCTGTCCAGTTTCATTTAGATTGGGCCCTGGCAGTTGCCCAAACCAATTTAACAGCACGGAAGGGATTTTACCTCTCAGCAGTGACAGTGTGGCATAGACGTCTCAATTGGTAGACTTAACCCATGCTACATGGTCCATGCTACAAATCAGTGCTGGGCTTGCAAATGCCAGCTGTAATTGCCGAAGAGCTTGTGGGTAAGTGAGGCCACCCAGGCTGAGGAATGCATTAGGAAATGTACAAGGTTTGTCTGGTCAATAAGGAGATTTTTAAACTTTTTATATCTTAGAGGATTGAAAAATATCCTGAGCATGCAAAATAGCAGTGTCCCGTGTGTCCAGGTAAGATGGCCTGGGTCTTTTCTGGTGCAAGCCCCACCAACCTACCATGGGGCATTTTCTAGGGATAGCTTCGGCTATACTCAAATGTTCCTAAAAGCACAAATATTTTTTTTCCTAAGGTTATCTCTTTCCAGGGCATCCCATCTCTTCCAGCTGTTCTTCATTTTACCTGCTGCAGAGGAAGCTGTAAGTGAATTTGAAGAAAAGTCTTGGTGCCACAGAAGGCTGAATTTTTAATTTTGTGGCCTCACTCAGTGACGTGCCATGCAGTAGACTCTGTCCCAGTACAGGTTTCTTCCTTCTTGCCAAATATGCTGCTTTAATGCAAAAAAAATATTTGTGCCTTCAGTAGGATTTACTGTATTCTTTAACCACTTTATTCCCACTGTGTGAGATGACATATTGGATACATGTATTATATATTCTGCACTATCATAACTTTCCTTTTCAGCATCTATTAAACATGGAGTGTATTAGCTCCTAGCATACATTTTTCTGTAGAAGACAACGTTAAATTTTGTCCAGGGTTTCCCCCCAAAATTGCATTGTGTTTAACTTTGCCTAAAGTTTGTGCCAGAATTCCCAACTGTCAGGCACAATTATAAATTCTTTCAGCATTTTCCTTGATGCCCCTTTTTATTGCCAGAGGAGGATCGTCTGGAGCCTCTGGAGGAGTTTGGGTATTTGGCTTTCTCCTGAGAATCTGGTCAGTGATATTAAGGTCAGAAAGCAGAGCTAAAAACAGGCACTGAAAGAGGCTGCTTGTTATCGCAGAACTGATCTCTGCCCTTTTGCACTTTAGCTTTGTTTTTAGTGAAACAGTTGAGTTCAGAGTGCAAAATATGAAAATGTATGGACTCTTTCTAGGTTCAAACCGAATTTAAAATTTTAGTCCTTAGAAATCAGTCTCTCTTCTTTTTTCAAGGTACTGTTGCTCAGATTAGTCAGATCCATGAATCTTCCCATCTCTTTCACAAAGAGAGGGATGTGAGAATCAGCTGTTTCAAATGGTAAAAAATTAAAAGCACCAAAGCAACCATTTGGAGAATAGTTCACAGATTGCTTTTTTGGGTGCTTTTGGGAGGATGTTTGATTCTGCTAAAAATTTCCATGTTTGCAAAAAGATTAACTTTCTGGTTCTTCAATTATTTAGGAAAAAAAAAACATTCATGTGTTCGTATGTATATGTTCATATGTATGCGAAGACACAGAGGACTTGCAGCCATCTCCATGGAGTCACAAAAAAGAGGAGTTGATGCAGGTAGGAGATTTATTTATTTTTTTGCGTAGCTGAAGAGGCTTTGCAGTAAACACTATAAAATACATGTTTTATGAGGCTTTGATTTTTTAATTTTTTTAAATAACTTGAGGGCAATTTCACTTTTAGATGTGACATATTTTGTCAACCTGAGAGGTTGCTGTGTGCTCTGGGCTGTGTTTGGCTGTGGCACACCATTGCAAAGGAAAGGGCTGCCTTGGCTGTGTCATCCCTATCCAAAGCTGGTTTTAGTTAAAGTGACTCTACTAAGAATGTGCTAAAGGACTGATGTTGCTGCCAGTGGGAAGTCTGTAGCATGGAGGTAGACAGGACAGTGTCTGCTCCTTTGTGTAGTCCACCTGGGGCTGTCACTAGTTGCTCTGTGGTTCACCAAGGCTCCCTTTCCTTTTTGGGCGGAGGCTTGCTTGGTTGTCTGCTGGAGGTTTGGGTCTGAGTGCCCAGTTATGCAATTCTTACAGCAGCAAGACTCGAGCAAGGGGTGTTTTTTTCATACTTTAGCTATTACATTCCCTGAGGCAGTTAATGTAGACAGCCATGGTGTGATCGAGCAACTCCATTCTCTCGACATCTGGATATTTAATAACCTCTTTTGCTTTAAATGAACAGTTAAACACTATGACTTGGGTCGATTTTGCAGCATTTTAGGCCAGAGGAGCCTGTTAGCTTGCAGCTTGGCAGGCACAGCTGAGACTGGCTCCTCCAACCCAGCTGCTCACACAGGGGTCAGATAGAGCAGGCTGTTCAGGGTCACGTCCAGTTGGGTTTTGAGTATCTGCAAAGATGGAGACTCTACAACCTCTCTGGGCAGCCTGTGCCAGTGCTTGATAGCTCTTGCAGTAGAAAAGAGTTTTCTTCTTTAAAAAAATTCCCTATATTTCAGTTTGTGCCCACTGCCTCTTGTCCTGTCACCAGGCATCACTGAGAAGAGCCTGGCTTTATCTTTTTTACTGGCCTCCTCATCAAGTATTAATACACCTTTTCTCCAGGCTGAGCAGTCCCAGCTCTCCATCTCTCCTCTTAGGTCAGATGTTCCAGTCCCT